AATAACAACTTTAGAAGTCAATAGAAGCTTTGCTAGGCCAGCAAAAAAGTTACATGAGAGGCAGCTGACTGACTACTCCTAATCAGCCCTTTCCTATCTGCTAAACTGCCTGGTAATCTCCGCCTCTCTGGTAGTCCAGGGTACCCCACGCCCACCTCCCAGCTGAGTGCACCCCCCCACCTCTGGAGAATCAAAGCAGGAAATGAGGGCTGCTGCCTTGGCCTAAGTCCTTTTCTCTTCGATTTCAATAATAAATAAACTCAAAAACCGAAACTTGAAAGGTAGTAAACACTACCTTTCGGTGACTTAAACTGGCACTATCCAACAGAAACACAATGTGAGCTATATATGCACTTTAAATATTTCTAGTAGCCCCATTAAATGAATAAAAAGAAACTGGTAAAATTAATTTCCATAATACATTTTATTTAACCAATATATTCAAAATATCATCTTGACATGTAATCAATAAAAAATTATTAATGATCTATTTTACATTCTTTTTTTATACTAAGTCCTCAAATTCCTACGTGTATTTCACTTACAACATATCTCAATAGGACTGGCCATATTTCACACAATCAAGAGTCACATGTAGCCAGTGGCTACTATACTGGATGGCACAGAGTTAAACATCATTCTCTGTTATGATCTTACAAACACAAATAGATTAATTCATCTTCACACACTTTACACAATCAGAAATTATTACAGGAAAAAGCAGTGAATTTTTACTTTGCCTCCAACTGCTTTGAATTTCTAAATGAACCTGATCTATTTTCTGATTTAATCTTCACCATAAACTGTGAAGTTGATCTGTACAGTATTTCATAGGGGTAACAGAATGGAATAAAAGCATCATACACACACACACACACACACGCACGCACGCACGCACGCACGCACGCATACCTGTTTTATGTTCTCAATTTATGTAGCCAAGGATCAGAACAGAACTGAAACCACACAGCAATACAGAGCCCAAGTGAAACGAAGCGGCTTCCTGACACAGTGCAAAAAAGGGAGCGTTAAAAACAAAAACAAACAAACGAAACGAGCAAAGAAGCAAACGAACAATAAAGGGGCCGAATGGAGGTCAGCGGAGAGGACACCACACTGCTCCAGGCGATGGGCTGTACCAACTAGACTATGGTAGTGGCAGGAAAAGTGACGCTGGGAGAGGGCGAGATTCACAGGATCTGGGAACTGGAAGAGACAACGGCCTCGAGTTCAAGGCCTTTTCAGGATCAAGGCCTACATTCTTGGAGAAATGGTGGTGACCGTCACGCAAAGAGTAAAGTCGATATGACCAAAGAGCTTTCCCCCTCTTGGGGATGGGCCGCAGAAGAGAGAACGAGCTCAGGTTTGCCATGTTAATTCCCCTAACAAGACCTGCGTCTGTTCTCTGCACCTACTTTCATGGACTGAGTGGCTGCTAAAAGGAATCCAATAAGCACTTGGCTTTCCTTAGAACTTGCTTAACTAGTTCATGATAACTTCAATGTGTTAGTCACTTACATTCTACTCAGCTGGCCCCTAAATGACCTCAGCAGATCTGCTGACCACTCTTCACATCTGCCCTGATCACTAAGGGATGGAAATTCTGGTCTGCAGATGAACTATCTGGCCTGGATTTTACCTCTGAAAGGGCCACAGTATGCGAGGCACAACTTTAGATCGAAAAATGTTGACGCTTTGATATTTAAAGTGAAGAAAGTCTATAGGCAAATGTCAGTGAAAAAGCACCTCATCAATGGCCCCTCGAATTCTATGAAATCTAGAGTCAAGATGCCCATTTATCACTTAATCCTCGATGGTGGAATATTCTACAGAAATACCGTCACACACATTTGGAGTGGTCGGTCTCTTAAACAGCCAAGCCATTACAGAGACCAAACTGTTTCATAAAAACAGAAATCACCATTTGTGAAAACACATTGCTTATCAATGCTCCGCAGCATGTCCTTAGAAGCTATGAAATTAAATTAACACCTTTAGGAAAAGGATCGAATGTGTGTATACACACGCTCAGAGACACATAATTCGGAGCCGACCCCAAATATGCCACACTTCACAGACTTTGTCAACCCTTCAACAACAACATGTGGCAATAACATGTTCAAATACTTAAAAACATTTAGTTTTTAAAATGTGAATGAGGCTATTTTATTCAGTGAAAAATAGAAGAGTGGTTTAGAAACAGAATATCACTGTCCAGGTTGGAATATAAACCAGTCACGGAGCTCCCACAGCCTCTCTCAGTGGGGGTGGTGACCAATCTCCAAAGACGGCCCTCAACAATTCTTCCTCTCCTTATATGAACAGACTCAAGAGAGAGACAGTCTTTATGCTCCCTTGACCCTGGGTGGATCTTATGACTTGTGGCAAAAGCGACATCCTTGGACTTTCAAGCCCAGGTCTTAAGAAGTGTAGCAGCTTCCTCTTTCCTTCTTGGAAGTCAGAAGTTTTGACTCTCAAGAGAGACCTGGTGGACAGAGGCCTGAAGCCACCTCGGTAAGCTGAGCCCAGCCGAGGTCCCAGCTGAATGCAGCTGCACGACTGGGCCCAGGAGAACACAGGAAATGAACCCCAGCCACCCCACAGAATCGTGAGGAATAATAAATCAGTGCTTCTTCAAGCCGCCACGTCTGGGGTCCTCTGTTATGTGTGGTAATAGATCATTGAAACAATGGGCCACAGAAGATATCAAATGATGAAAAGCGAGCCAGATCTCCCATTCACCTGTGACCATCTGTGATCGTATTGGGATTCTGTACACTTCTGCCTGTGAACTAATTTCAGTAGAGAAACACAGATGGGACTGTCTCTTTTCATATTCATACTCCAGCATTCAGGAACATCTCGGATACTGGTACTGATGCTTGCACTGGATTCTGACAATTCTCTCCCCAGAGCCCTGTAGGGCTAGAAAAATGACTTCCCTTGACTGATTCATCAAACTCTCTCCCTCTCTGCTTTACCTAACACCATGCCTCAGACCTGCAAATGTTTATGTTAGAAAGAGTAACAAGATGACAAATGCTGGAGGGAATAAAATTTCAATATGAGTATGAATGGAGAAAAGTTGGTAGAGGCCTTAATTGAAGTTTATGGCATGGACCACATGGAGCTACTCAGCAGCAAGGACTGGGCAGGCTTGGGGTAAACTGAGCTATTAGCCCCAATTCTTGACCTTTTGCTACACCCTTGCCACAAATGCACTGTGGTCAGATGTACTTCTCTTCCTCTTGTCTTTGAACCTGTTCATGCGACTTGACTTGAATGTTGATGCAGGTGATAATGTGCCAGCTCTAAGCCCAAGCTTAAGTGGTGTCTTGTGTATCACTTGCACTTTGAGCCTTCTGCAAAAGGAAGGCATGCCCCCCTTAGCTCGTGGGTCCCTGGAGGAAGATGAGAGAGAGACTAGCAGAGCCACTCCAGTTGACCTACCAACTCGTGATCAAGAAAGACAAAGATGTGCTCATCGCTGAATGCCACTGAGACCCTGAGTTGACAAGGCTCCTTTATTCAAAGCTAACATTTGCAAAATACACATGGTACTCCAGGACAACAGAAAGTCTTCCTGGCTATAAAAGCTGTAACTAAATTAGCCAACGAATGGTTAGGTTCCAATTTAGCTGTTTTTCCAGAAACTGGTTTTTGTGATTTACATTCTAGTTTTATTAAGATGCTGATATGTTACTCTTCTTCCACGGTTCTACATTCTATAGGTAGTCACCACTAGAAGCAAATTTGTTCCAGCAAGAAGTACTTCTCCTTAACAAAACAAAACAAAACAAAAACAAAACAAAACCGTCTTCCTCGTATGTACCAGTTCACTTTAAGCAGAGTATTAACCCTCCCAGATCACCAGGGGACTGAAGCAACCATGACAATGGATCTAAGCTATAGATTCTAATGCAGAATTATTTGACAGTGACTGAATAAGTGCAACTTCAGCTATTTACACATAAACATTATTTCAAAGAGGTTCTTTACTGAACAAGACATGAAGACTCCCTCTTATGAATACAAGTGCTTTGCAAATGTCGAGTAGTGGGTTTCACTGTTAAACTATTTCAGCAAAAACTACTTCATCTGCTTTATACTAACTGGAATTTTGTACTGACCCATACACATGCTTCATCAGAAAAATAACTGATCTCCTAAGGAACAAACTCAAGGTTAGGCAAACTCACGAGCCTGTCAGCGGCCAGTGGTTAGTGAGTGAGCAGGGCTTATTTTGCAATCACAGAGCAGGCTGAGCAGTTCACTGGGAACCACAGCCTGACCGAAGGGACAATGGCAACCCCACTGACTGTTGCCTCAGGGAATGAAGACCCAGTTTTGCCAGGTCTTCTGAAGAAATTTGGGGTCTCATGTGAAACATCTGGATTTTTAAAGGCCACCTTGCTTCTCATTTTAAAATTCTCTAGGAGTCCCCAAAATATATATTTTCAGTAGATAGTCTAACATCGCCTTGAAATATCATAGAAAGGTTAAAAGATGATTATTAAATTGAAATGTCATAGAAAGGTTAAAAGATGATTATTAAATTTATTGTATTTGCATTTTTGAATCTGAAATTTATAATTCACTTTCTCGTAACTTTCTAATAACTCTAAAAAGCACCTCACCGTTTTGTTTATAAATTCTCACTCGCTCCACCCTTGGACCTTTATGTTTGCAGGCTTATAGTTCTTCTCCACCAAGACATCCTTTAGCTGTGGTCCCACCTACCTACTTAAGTCCTACTAGTTATTTAAAGTTTGATTTAAATGCTGCCTACTGCATAAAACCTCCATGATCCTCCTTGAAGTCCTCGATGTATAAATTACAATGACTGTCTGATGGCAGAGACCTGCACTGATACCCGTCACATCTCATCAGCCCCTTCCCAGTACCCTTCAAATGGTATAACAGGGTAACACACGGATCCACTGCCGCGAAAGTGACGGGCCCAGATCAACAGGTCAAGAATAAAGTTCGAAGGCACTCACCGCCAAACACATCTCCGTTCTGGTAGTTCTTCCCTTTCTGGGCTTCCTCTTCATTTTGGACAGTGGCAACATGCTTGGCGGAGGCACAGCCCATAGTCTCATTCGCTCAGCTTCAGCCTGGCTGAACTGCAAATCATCTCTACAGACACGGGGACATTTTTCTTTTCTTTAAACACCAAGAAAATGGATCTTCCTGCGGAGTCGGTCGAGACGTGAGCACCTGCAAGGGCGGAAAGGCAGATCAGGATGCGCGGGACGAGACCATGTCTCGGTGTCTTGCTGAGCCGTGTGACCAGCAGTGCGCTAGAATCCCTGTGGGACCCCACGGTGCAGGTGCCGAGGTGGGGTGGCACAGAGCACAACGCAACGTGGCCCATCCTCACCCGGTCCCCACCACGGAAGCAAGATCAGAAGGCGCGCCGCCGCACGACACACAGCTGAATGTTTTGGGAGATGCAAAAAGATGTATATTTGTTCATTCGGGTAGGTATCTGAGCACTGCTACTTGCCACACACATACTTAAAGTGCACGTGTGTTTACTAACGTTCTAGAATAGCAGAAACCTTCAGAGTACACTCGTGAGATGCGCCCAGTTCACCATCCTGCCCTTGCAGCCTGCTCTTCCTGGCCCTCACGTTTTGCCAGGAGGAGGTGGCTTTCCTCCTCGGGCTGAAAAACGGGCTCGTTTACACATTCCTGGTAGGTTTTATAAATAATTCTATATTCCATTTTACCTGAGGCGACACTGTTTCAGACGAGAAAGATGGGGGTGAGGTCTTAAACTTACTTTTGTCCACTCTCTGTTTAGCTAGCTGAATGTTTTAAAGAGTGAGCAGATGTAGGAATATGAAGAAAAGAAAAAAAGGCAGATGCCTATGTCTTTGAGAGCCAGATGCCTATGTACACACACACACACACACACTAATTTGAGTTCTAATAAAAGCTGGACGAGTGTTTCAGGGATAAAGCACAAAGGAGATAATCTCTTGTTAACTGAAAAGTCACCGTCCTCTGCCCCACCCAAGGTCCCTGCCCAAATTCTCAGGGTTCACTCTGCTGAAGTTGCTCGTTCTTATTTACTTTATCCTTTCATCGTCCTTATCCAGCCATTCCATTCTCACAGACGACGTATTCCAGTCTTACAGATGTTCCCTCTGGACCATCTACCCATCTCTTCGCCTCCACCCACCGCACTGTCCCACAGGCCCTCATCTCCTCACACCTCGGCAGAGAGAAAACGCATTGAGCTGCTGCTCCTAATTTTCTTGAGCACCTGCCTCCCGCGACTCTCCTCTCTCTTTCACGAACAACTGATGTCTCTCCACCTCGAGATCGGAGCTACCGAAACGCAGCTGTGACTGTTCTCTTCCGACAATGTCGCTGCCCCTGAGCCCTCCTTCCCAGAGCACAGATGACATCTATGGATGTAGAAATCAAGCCATTTAAACCATAACATCTCGGCAAGGGAATTTTTCAAAGTAGCCTAACATGCCATGGTAATTCTAAATCGATCAAATAAAGGGACTTTGACACAAAGGTTATAATCTTAAATTGAGCAAGCGAATATAAATTTCAATATTGATTCAATGGCTACAACACTAGCCATGTCTCTGTACAGTTCTTAAGAGTATTTTCTATCACTGGTTATAGTAAATCCTTAACAGGAAGGACAGGGTTAGTTGGTGAAGTTTTACAAATAAGGAATATTTTTTTTTCCTAGAAAGTCAGTGCTTACAGTTTTTCTACATTATTAGGTAACTTAGTGTTAACACATTTTCATCTTTTAAAAGCCATATGGAATACACACACACACACACACACACACACACACACACACACCCCTATTCTTAGCAATAATGCCATTAAAGAAACGCTATTTTGATTTGATGGTCTATTCATACTGGTCTATAAAGCTCAGGGGCTTGATGGGGGACATATGCTGACATTTAAAAAAAATTCACACAATACAGTGTAGTAAGTGCCAAGATAGAGGTTTCATAGGAATCTGCGACAATATCGTCGCAGAAAGACAGACTAAATTATGACTGGGCAAAGGCAAGAGCTAAAAGAGGAAGTGGTATTTTGTGGGGAGTCAGAAGTTCAGTAGAAATTCACCAGGCTGAAGGGGTGGCGGCATGACCCAGACATAAGGAACTCCCGAGCTAAGACACTAGAGAGTGTTAGAGCACTGTGAGTGTGAGTGTGTGTGTACACGTGCGTGCTTGTTCAGAGAGGTCAAGGTGGGGGCAGGACAGGGAAGAGAACTGTACTGCTGATGTTTTGTGGAGGCCTGGAGAAGGCCTTGCTAATTTTATCCAATTTAACAAAAACGAACTATAAAACATCCTAAGATATAGGAAGTCTCCGTGATCCAAACTGGAGCAGGCTTTGAGAGACATTAAACTAGTAGTGTCGAAATCCATTCTGTTAACCTATGACAGTTTTTGAAGAAACATCGCTGAAATACGAGACAAACGAGTCGGGATTCAGTTCTAAGGTCAGGAGAAGAGAGAACACTCCGCTCTAACCAGGTGGCTGCTTCAGCTCTGCATTCCCCAACACCCCTTTCTCAGGGGCTGCATCCCCTTTCCTCCTCACCTCTGGCATCACCAGGTAAGGTTACAGGTGTGGGCTCCCAGAATGAATTCCTTCCTTTTCAAAAAGGAATGTGGCAAAACCACCTCGCACTCCACGGGGAAAGCAACCCGAAGTGAGAGGGCGAACCTCGCCTGCTTCTGTCTGTTGCCACCTCTTCGGAATAAACAAAGTAAAAATAGGAAGGAGAGTGGGGAACCCTAAGAAAATTCCCGAAGGACAGGGGTCATCCGGGGACAATTTATAATCGTCCTCTCTGAGCGTCTTCTTGCTTTCTTCTCATTCGTAGTTTGGGTCACAGCCTCATATGCTATCCAAGAAGAAAACGAAAGAATCTGAGAGGTGAATTTTCCTTTGCTACCCCTGAAAAGCATCGGGTGGTGTTTTAAAAGTTGTGTTTGCATCAAAAGAAAAATCTTACTTGAATTTAAAAAGTTGAAATCACATGAAAGACAAATACATTGCAGCAAGCTAACAAGATGTAAAAGATATAAGAAGAATTTTTTCAAGTACTTCTCTTATTCAGGCATGGAGGTGAGGGGCATGTTAACAAGCAGATGAGACATAATGTACATTCAATTCAAGTGATGACTCAAGAAGATTAATCATAAAATATTTAACCATATATTTTATAACAGCACTATTGCTCGATATGAGTTCTCTCCGAATCATAAATAGGTGTAGATTTAGTTTTGAAACATATACACTATATATTTTACAGCAGTAATTAAAAGTGATATTTTTAAATTTTATAGCTTCCTCAAAAATATATATTAATTCTTTGCTCATTTTGAAGGTGACATTTATGAAGTCATTTGAGAGGCATAAGACCTCTAATTCATAAAGATGACCATGGATCACTGAGGAAAGGTTTTTTTTTACTATGTCATTTGCATTCTGCACATGAACAATTGTCTAATCATTCATTCATTTAATCAACGGATATTTATTGAAAACTATTAAGTGACAGGCATGTGTTTGGTAGGCATTGGGGTGTATAGAGGTAAACAAGGCAAGACAGGCTTTTGCTCCCTGTCCCCATAAAATGTGAACATTCAGAGAAAAGAGACCTTTAGAAAGACCGGTGTCACAGCGACGTGGTGCAGTTACTGCAGGTTAAATATAATACGACGGGGGATTTCACCCCACCAGGCACCCGATTCAGCCTTGTGAGAGAGAATGTCACGGAGGTCAGGTCCCAGCTAAAGCAACATCACTACAATACTCCTCCTCCCCTGCATTTTTATGGTTTGATGTACATCAAGGTTAATCATTTCTACTGAAAATTCTCTTACTTGACCTCAGTCCAGCTGAGACCTCAAATTGAACAGATCTTCAGAAATGTCCTCCTAACGACTCCTATAGTAATCTGCTCTAAAACATTTTCCTCCGTTTTGTACTATCCTTCGCATAAACCCTAGCAATTTTTTCTAGCTTCCGTTTTTCCATTAGGTTTGCTCAGCCTTTCTCTTCCAATCCTCACGCCCTCTATTCACTTACCTCCTTGAAACCACACGACTTAGAGAGGTTAAGTCTGATGGTGCAAACGGGCGTGCAGAGACCACAACACTGAACAGATCTGAGCGTCTCGTTTTCACACATCGTGATTAACAACATGCTATTTCTAAAGTCACAGATCACAGTGTGAGAATTAAATGGAAACATCTCTTTGACGTTTGATGGAAACTTCTGAGACCAAGTCCTACCGAGGATGATTATTTTAAAACTAAATAATCTATGTGATAGGATCATCAGGCACCTCTAAAAACAAAGGGCCCTATTAATTATTCATGGCTCTGTGTAAAAGTCTCCCCAGACGGTAGTATGGCTACATATCCTGTACTATGTAAGAAGTTTTTTTAAAATTTTTTTTGTAAATGTAAGCATTATTTTCTTTCATGGTTTTCTTTGGAGCAATGGTGGTTTATACCAGCATAAAGAGCTTGACTTGTACTGATAGTTTTCCAGTTTCCAGATCAAGTCTAGAAATAATTTCCTATTTAACCCAGTGAACTAATGAATGATTAAGAGGATGCCAAAGCTTAGGCATTGTGCTAAAGCCACAATCAATTATTTCTTGATTGACAAGTTTATTCGTCTTTACCTAATTCCTACCCTTCTTGATCTTTTTGTAAGAATTAACACCCTTCACTACCCTGTCCTTGACGACATCTCCTGTAGTTTCTGCATCACTTCTCTCTCCTGCTCTTTGTCTGTTGATGGCTTCTCTTTCTAGGCTGTCTCTTAATGGTACGTGTGGCTTCCGGTTCAGTCTTCTATCCTGCTCTCTTCCATCCCTCGTTGCTTCCATTGGCGCCAACATCTTCGATAAATTCCTCTAGATTAAAGGCCACATTTTATAGCCTTGGTCTGCCCCCTGAACTCCTATCCCACATTTCCAACACTAGGATGAACATTTCTGCCTGGAGATCGCACAGGTGACTCACATTGAATAATGAAATTCATTATTTTCTATGAATCGCTATTCCCCTTGACTTCCTTTGCTTTTTAAATGTTACTTCCAGAAGACATGCTAGTGAGTAGTAAAATGAGTTGCATCAGAAGTGACCAGAAAAAGGAGTTTTACTCCCTATCCACAATGCAATGAGCTAATTTAATTTAGCGCCACCTTTAT